TTATATTATTATTAATATTATGGTGATGTTATTATCAGTATTACAGCTTTGTTGTTGCTTTGTTATTTTTCTTATTATCAATGTGATTGTTGTTGTTGCTGTCGTTGGTTCTATTATTTTGATGAATGTTTTTGGTGGTGTGGTAACGGTATGTTGAAAATTCGGGTACCGGTTTCCCTTGCAGATTTCACCTCTTGTTGTATTCAGATCCGCGTCGAATTGTTAAAGAGCGTTACAGAACATTTTGTCATTAAGAACACTATTCTCGAGGTGATTAAAAACAAGAAATAATTTTATGAATATACAAATGAAACAAATGTGTTAACACAAGAATAATTTTAATCACCTAGATTTATTTTCTCTCTCTGGTAAGAACTATAATAACAATTCAATGCTTCTCTACACTTCTCCAGTAAAAATTGTTTCTTTTTAAGGGTTTTATCGAAATGCTCAATTCCTTCAACTCATGTGTTTTTGGAGTTTTGAGTGAAGCAGCATAATAATAAAAATATAAATTCACATTTTATCGAACGTCAAATAGCGCGTTTTCTTCAAGCAATAACGCTGAAAGTTCAGAACACCACTTTGGTTTCCACAAATGTTCCAATATGTTACTTTCGCAGCTTGCGAAGAAAGTGCGCTGTTCGATAGTTTTACCGCTGGCAAACGACAAAATTGACATGATAGCTATCGAACGCCAGGAAATGTTTCAGTTGAGGGGAAAAAGAGACTGTTTAACTGTATGTCTGCATCTTCTAGGCTCGACTGGGAGTTAAAATAATGTGATAATATTAGCTTACAAAATAAAGGTACAACCCCGCCCCCCTTCCCAAGAACTGTTTAAAATAAGTTACAGAAAACGGCAAAGAAAGAACGAAAATGGTCTCAATTCTCGGTTTCGTATTTTATTTAATTCAATTTAATTTAATGTTATTTAAATTTCTTAAAATTTCATTTTACTTTATTTTATCTTCATTTATTAAAACTATATTTTATTTTGGTTCTTTTCATTTCGATTTGTGTGTTTTTTTTCAATCCTATTTAATTTTGTTTTATTTTATCTATTTTATTTGACTTAATTTATTTTAGTTTATCTTATTTGTTATTGGGGATTGGGAGGGGGGGGGGGGA